CTCTCCTACAAGTCGACGGTGGTCGGCTACCAACTGTTAGTTTGTCCCTAAAAATGCAAACCTGTTTGTGGACAAAGGTTTTGTTAATATGTCGGTAACTTGATCTTGTATATAGATAAGCTTGACTTGTAGACTCCCCTAGCTACCATATATCCGACAAAGTGGAAGTTTATTTTCACATGTTTTGTATGTGCATGAAAAATTGGATTGATCTGCTAAATATGTAGCTCCAATGTTATCATACCTTATGATTGGTGTAGTTATTGGACGACAACCTAACTCTCCCAATAAAGCTATAATCCAAGTGAGTTCGACTTGCTAAAGTCAACTATCGCTTTGTACTCTACATACGTAGAGCTACGTATCACTATTTTTTGCTTGTTGGACTTTTAAGCGATGAGATTCGACCCGGGGAATATTACATATCCACTCGGTGGATTTCCTATCATCTAGTGAACCAGCCTAGTCCGAATATGAAAACCTTATAAGTAATTAAGATGTTGAGTGTTTGATGTGTAGCTTGTGATCCGTGGTATGCTTTAGGTAGCATAGAATCCATTTAACGAGCAATCCGAGTAAGTTACTTATGGGTTGTGCATAAACCGACAAACTTTGTTAACTCGTAAAAGCAATATTTGGTCTAGTTAAGGTGGCATATTAAAGTTTACCTACCACTTGTCTATACAAAGTCGGATTATCAAAGACCGAACTTTCATCTTTACGTAGCTTAGTTATGGTCGGCATAGGAGTTAAGACAAGTCCGCAATTTAACATACCTTGTTTAGAAAGGAGATCATGGATGTATTTTTGGATGAGATAAGATTATTCTTTGCTTAGTTCGTACCACCTCAACACCTAAGAAGAAATTGATTTCTCCTAGATCACGGATGGCAAACTAAGTGTTAAGGGCATGGATGACCAATTGGAGGAAATTGGTGTTGTTGGCGGCGATTAAGATATCATCCATATAGACTAAGAGAAAAACTACGTAACTCGACATCCGATATATAAACAAGGAAGAATATGTTTTGGAACTCACAAAGCCAAAAGATATTAAAAAATCATAGAGATGGAGAACCGAGCCCTTGGTGATCTGTTTGAGCCCATAGAGAGATTTATGTAGCTTACAAACATAATTTGGGTTTTGAGAGTCAATAAAGCCTACTAGTTGAGCCATAAAAGCTGATTCATAAAGCTTACCATTGAGGGAGGCATTATGGATGCCTAACTATCCGATGGGCCACCCTTACAAAATTGCTAGACTTAAGACTATTTGAATGGTAGTGGGCTTGACTATCGAGCTGAATGTTTCATCAAAGTCCACACCTTCTGCCGATGGTACCCTTTAGCTACTAACCTAGCTTTATACCTTTCAAGACTACCATCTGCGTGTTTCTTAGTCTTGAACACTCATTTGTTACCAATTATGTTCATGGATGGATTCGATGGCAATAAAGGTGTTGGTTTTTAACGAGTGCATTGAGCTGATTTTCTATTGCAATTCTCCATTCTCTAAAATTTTTATCCTTAGAGTAACAAGTGAGAGTTTCGAAACTCGTTTACCAATCACGACTAACAAAGCCGTTGATGAGGGCTTAGAGCCTATGTTGCGGAGGACCATAGGATGTGTCCTTTGAGCTTTAGTAGTGGACATTGGTGCAATGCTATGAGATCAATCCAAGTCATAATTAGTGAAATCAAGTATTAAATTTAAACTAGGGGAATGTGTTTTGGTTTGGGTAGGTAGGATAGATGGGTGGTGTTTGCGGATGATTTGTGAGGTGTTTATGGAGTGGGTTAGGTTTGTGATGTGTGGTTACTGGGATTTGGTGAAGGAGTTAGGCTTTGTTGATTTGGTGAAGTGTTTGGGCTATGGATCAATGTTGGCCGAATAAGCCTAATACGAAGACTCGAGTGATGTCGACCTACGGACAAATGTTTATTAGTAACAAGTGGGGCTTGAATCGGGAGACTAGCCCAAAGAGTTGAAAATTCAATTTTTGATCATTGAGATGAAGTTTTTTTTAGTTTTGAAAAAGAAAAAATATTTTCAATAAATGCGGCATGACGAGCAATGTAAAATCGTTTAGTTTGAGCATCATAACAATGATAGCCTAAATGAGATGGACTATAACCTAAGAAAACACATAAGATGGACCTAAAATCCATTTTATGTTTATTATAAGGACGTAGGAAGGGATAGTATAAGCGACCAAAGACTCGAAGAAAGAAAATAATTAGGGACCTTTTTAAAGAAAATTTCAAAAGGGGATTGATTTTTAATAATTGGAGTTGGCATCCTATTAATAAGATAAACTACGGTTTCAAGAGCATGATGCCAAAAATGTCTTAGAGCACGGGCCTCACCCAATAGGGTTAGGCCTATTTCCATAATATGACGATGACGTTGTTCTACGGTCCCATTTTGTTCATGAGTGTGGGGACACATAATACGATGTATTATTTCTATTGACTTAAAAAAATATATTTAGTTTTTGAAATTCACCACCCCCATCCATTTGAATTTGTTTAATTTTAACTCTAAATTGATGTTCATCCATTTTCCGGAATTGTAAAAAAGTGTTAAAGACCTTTAATTTTTTTTCAATGGAAAACACCAAATATACTTTGAATAGTGATCGATAAATGTAATATAGTCCTTATATCCATAAATTGAAGCATTGGGACAAGGCCCTTAAACATCACTAAAAATTAAATGAAAAATACCAATACTAGAATTTTTGGATGAATGTAAAGATAAGTGGCTTGCTTTCCCTAATGAATAAGACAAGCATGAACTTGACGAGTTTTGAAGAAGTAGGTAATGCATTTTTATTTAAAATAAGGCGTAGTACTCTGTCATGAGGATGACCCAATGTGGAGTGCCAAGTGTTTGTAGAGATTTTAATCGAAAAAACTTAAGGACTCGGACTCGTTTAAAAAAGGTAAACTATAGAGCTCAACATCACTCGGGCCTAAAAGTAGATGTTTCTGTATACCGATCCTTTAGATAGAAACAAGAGAGGTGAAATTTCTAAAAAATATTATTATCTTTTCCATGATAATTAACAAAAAGGAGTAAACATGTTATTTATGGTACATGAAGAACTCGATTTAAATTTAACTTACAAGAAGGAGTATAAATATGACTTATACCTATGTGATGTATAGACAAGAACTCACCATTGCCCACTTAAAGCTGGTCGGGACCGTGGTAAGGTTCGAAGGTGCTGAAGCTAGCAAGATCCAATGTGACATGGTGTGTTGGCCCCTTGTTTGGACACTATGGCCGGCCACGTAGGGCGGTATGACATACCGTCGAGAGGTGAGTAGAAGGTTGAGTGGATTGATACTTGTCGGTGTGGATAGTAGAGGGTCGTATACTGCCGAGAGTTACATATTTGACACTTTTGGCATTGGTCACTAGTTTGCCAAGAGTTGTTGCCAAATCGACCAAATTTGCCAAGCCCATGCCCCCTAAGAAACCTACCTTGCCACGATTATAACCTCCAGCTCGATCACTAAAATTAGCCGTACCTCTTGTGATCGGATAGGTAGCAAGTGGAGTTGGGAGAAAAGTAGTCGTGTGCATGGGTGGACTTAGATCGGGTATAGTATGCTGGTTTTCATAGTTTAAAAATTTATAGCTTAGTAAAAAGCTATGAAGATCGATGTATATTACTAGGTCGACTCTTGTAGACAAAGTGGTGATGATGTCTTTGAAGTCCACGAAAAGTCCTTTGAACACATATAGATTGAAATCAATAGTGGAGAGTGGTCCGCTTGTTACAGCTAGCTCATTAGCTAAAGCTTTTGCCTATTGTAGAAGGGGAGAGATAGATTCACTTGGTTCCTAACAAAGCCTTTGTAGAGCAAGATAGAGGGTCATAATTCTTGTACTAGAGGGAGAGGTCAAAGCATTCTCAGGACACTCCAAGCTGCTCGAAGTTGAGTAGTCTATAATCATAGGGAGCACCTTAGTTGAGAGGGAGGCAATGATCTGTGCTCATGTGGTTTTGATCCTATTGGATCCATGTTTGGTGAGCATGATTAATCGGAGGTGCTTCGAACTAGTAGCGAGCAATGTGACTTAGAGGGCATAGGTTGCTCCCATTAATGAAACCAAAGAGTCCTTAGTCTAGGAAGAAGGGTTTCATTTGAACTTGCCATAGAAAGTAGTTTGTTTGAGTGAGTTTGAGGGAGATGAGCCGATGAGAGTTTATGGTTGGGTCATATTTGAATGGTGATGCATGACTTGATTTGGGGTAACGATAGGTGGGGTGGATATGGTCTTGGATGAAGTCATTGGTTATGAGGATTACTTGTGCTTAGGCTTTGATGAAAGAGAAGTATATTACTTGTTCATGTGGGCTAGATTTTGATAAAGAAGAAGAGGATTTACGGGTGTTGGATTTTGATGAGGAGGAAGAATGACGGTGATCCTAAAAAAAGGCTACGATACCAACTTAGAATGTGACGGGGAGAGAGCGCCGGAGGTTGAAAGAAATTCCTTTTTATTACGTATAACATTAGGATTTTACGTAATCCTTATATATGTTTACAAGGGATAAGATTGAAACTATACAAGAGTTCCTATCTATTTACAATTATTGTCTAATCTCCTAACCGAACACGCTAGGAGAAGATTAGTCGTAGAGAATCTGCTACGAGTGGAAGTCGTGGCACCAATGGAATCTGCTGCATAGGCCTTAACAAACTCATACGGAATAGATTGTCTTAACATCTCGAGATGAAAACATTGTTAGTCTTGTCTTGAAAGGCGGTAGCAAGCTCGATCCTATTGTTAGGGTCGAAGTGAAGAATTTCATTCTTTCTTCATCGAGCGGATGGAAGAACTCCCTTAACGTGCCTATTATTTCATTGATCATTGTCTCTTGAATTCCATGGTTCTTCACTCGAAAATATGTTATTAGAAAAAAATTAGCAAAAACACATTTGTATATATTTCATAACATCATTTATTCACACACTTATACAACATGATCGGTGACATGAACAATGAGGACTATTGCTCTTATGTCCGCCAAATCAATGGTCCCGACTCCCGGTTCTATGTTGTGGATCGGTGATTTATTTATTTATTTTTCTTTGTGTAGCCCTAATCTAACTAATTTTGAATAGATCCACACCAAAAAGAAACCATAGTGCTGGCATGCACGGCAAGTCTGTAGGATGATGTTAAGATCCAAAACGATAGGGACGGGAGCGTTTTGTTAAATGAGGGAAGTTTAAATAAAAGAGGAAACTAGGAGGGGTAATTTAGTCCATTAGCATTGGAATTCGTTATATTCTTGAAATTATTCATTTTGACTCGTTATAATAGAAATCGGTTACTCAACATTCTAGCAGAATGCAAGCGGGCTTGAGGAGCATCCTTGCTCCCTTAAATATAGGAAAATGTATGGATTGTGATATGATTTTTATCAATGAAATTCATACCTTCTTCCTCTTTATTCTATTTCTCCCCTACTTTAAACTCTTTCTTCTTCTTCTTCTACTAACCACTCGCCTTTCTACTACCGGTAGCTTATGTTCTCCCTCTCTAATTTCTATCACATTTAGGATCTTAACAAGTGGTATCGAGCATTTATGCACCAAGACCGAAGGTACTTAGGCTAAAAACCCTAGATGATCAAGTAAAAAATCTTGAGAATCGAGTTCAACCACTCTAAGCCGATATAGCCATAATCCATACTCGTCACTCACCAAAACCATGAAAAGAATACACGAGAGGTGGAACCAAACCCATGAGATGATAAACCAAAACCAATAGGTATTTTAAAGCTTAGTATAGGCCGTGAGGGATCTATAGGCGACAAACCATGGAGGCTCGACGGGGGCTAGTACCTTTTCCAATTTTAGGGTGGACACTGGAAAGGGATTACGCCGGACCCTTAGAATTCCAAACTCCACACACACTTGCACCTTTATACCCTAACCAAAACAACCTAACCAACTCATACTCACCAAACCACCATCAAACATCCAACCAACTATGGCCAAAGATGGACTTCCAGGTATTTCGATAGGACTAACCCCGAGTCGTGGACTAGGAGGTGTTAGAAGGAGTTCCGGGTGTATCAAATTAGAGAGGAGGCTAAGGTGGAGGCTGTTGCTATGTTTTTGGACATCAAACCCGATATTTGTTATCAAGAATGGAAAGAGGATAAAGGCGAGTTAATTTGGGAAGAATTGATGGAGGACTTATGTAGGAGGTTCAAGGAGCAAGAAGAAACGGTTGTGATAGAGGAGTTTCATAGGCTCAAATAAACTAGAGCTGTGGAGGAATATCGGAAGAGATTTGAAGAATTGAAATCCTTGGTGAAAAGAATGAATCCGAGGCTTCACCGAAGGGTATTTGGTTAAGGTCTTCATAGGAGGATTAAGGGGAGACTCGAGCACAGTAGTGAAGAGATTAAAACCTATGGACCTTTGAGAAGCCTTTGAATAAGCAAAACTAAATGAGGCTCTATGAAAAACCACCCACAACCTAAACAAACCACCCAACATACACCATTCACAACTCCAAAAACCTTCCCCTATTAACACCACTAGCCACAAAATCAGCATACCCTAATATAACCACTAATAGAAACCAATTTGCATAACCACCTAGGAGCTACCAACACAAACCAAATAATAGAATGACTTTAAGAAAGAGCTTGATAAGTTTCAAATATGGAGACAAATACTACCCAAAACATCAATACAAGCTTAAGCAACTACTACATATGATGTTTGAAGAGGTGGAACAAGGGAGCGGTTAAACAATGAGGTTGGGGAGGAAGAACAACCAACGATAGAGGAAAAAATCACATTACATACTGATATGGACAATGGCATTTCACTACATACCTTTAGTGGTAAGTCATCCCCTAATGCCTTTAAAATAAAAAGATATATGGGAAAAAGGAGTATTAACATATTAATTGATAGTGGGAGCACTAATAGCTTTATAGATAAAAGCCTAGTGAGGGAGTTGAAGTCGCCAACCTTACAAACCATTCCACCGACGGTGATAGTGGCTAATGGGGCCAGAATGCAAAGTCTAGATGTAAGAAATTTCAATGGGTAATACAAGGTAGGAGCTATATAGTTGACTTGGGAATATTGGACCTAGGAGGATGTGATGTGATGTTTGGCCTATATTGGATGGAATACTTTAACCCTATATATTTTGACCTTGAAAACACAAAAAGTGACTATGCATGAAGGGAATGATAAGATCACTTGACGGCTAATAAAGGATAATGGTCTTATAGCTTGTTAAAGAGGAAGGGGTATAAAAACTATTTAGGCAAGGTTTGAAGGAGGTAACGGGACACATGTTCATGATGATTTGTGAAGAAAAAAAGAGGGATACTTACCCTTACTCGTCATCCGTCTTAAAGGAGTACCAAGATGTGTTTGAGGAGCCAAGGGACCTACCACCACATAGGGCCTTAGATCACACCATTCCCCCGAAACCAAACACCAAACCAGATCAATATATGACCTTATAGGTACCACTTACTTTCAAAAGACGAGAGGTGGAGAAATTAGTGAAAGAGATGCTATAAACTTCCCTAATTCAGCCTAGCCAATCCTCTTTTGCCTCTCCAATATTGCTAGTCAAGAAGAAAGATAGCTCCTAGAGGTTTTCTATAGACGATAAGAGGTTTAATGATATTACAATTAAGGATAAATTCTCTATTCCTTAGGTGAAGGATCTAATGAATGAGTTAAATGGGGTTGTCATATTCTCTAAGATTGATCTTAGGTTTGGTTATCACCAAATCAGAATGGCTAAAGAAGACATTCCAAAAAAACTTTTAGAACTCATTAAGGCCACTTATGAGTTCAAGGTGATGCCCTTTGGACTCACCAATGCACCAGCCACCTTTCAAGCATTGATGAATCAAGTGTTTACCGATTATCCGAAGAGTTGTATGCTTGGTTTTCTTTGACGACATCCTCATTTACAATAGCAATTTGGAGGCACATCTAGGTCATCTCAAAATTATGCTACAAGTGTTGAGGTAGCATCGGTTTTATGCCAAAAGATCTAATATTCTTTTGGGGTGGATCGAGTGGAATATTTGGGTCACATTATCACTAACGTGTGGCTACTGATCCATCAAACGTACGAGCTATAAGAGAATGACCAATCCCAACTAACCTCAAATCCCTTGAGGGTTCCTAAGCCTTATTAGTTACTATAGAAAATTCATTAAAGGTATGAAAATATCAACCAACCATTGACTAATCTACTGAAAAGGATACATTCCATTAAAGAAAGGAGGCTACACAAGCTTTTACCCAACTCAAAAAAACCATGTGCCAAGATCCGAGTACTAGTATTACCTAATTTTAAAGAGCCTTTTACCACAGAGACGGATGTTTGTGATATTTGAGTGGGAGCTCGTGTTGATGCGAGGGAAGAAACTTATAGCTTATCTTAGCACGACCTTGTGTGCAAGAAATCAAGGTCTATCAATTTACGAGAAGGAGCTACCGGCCATCCTCATAGCGAGTAGACAAATGGAGGTATTACCTAGAAGCTAACCGCTTCATCATCAAGACAGACCATTACGACCTTAAATACTTATTACAACATAAGCTACACACACAATTATAAAAGAAGAATCTCACCAAGTTGCTAGGCCTCAACTACCGGATAGCCTATAAGAAGGGGAAAGAAAATATTATAGCGAGATGCATTATCAAGTTTGCATGAATCTAAACCTAACACTACCGAGTTAGAAACCATTATAGTGCTTAGAGCCACAATTGCTAGAGGAATTCAAGTACAATTATGATAGAGACCCTACTGCTCAAAACTTAATTAGAGCTGCATTACATCAAGATAGATTACCGAGTTCATTACTCATACAATTGCTTAGAGCGGAAACATATCATCATGGTGGTGGTGGACAAGTTCACTAAATACAGCCACTTTGTGGCTCTAAATCACCCCTACACAACAATGACGAGTAGCACAACGAGTTTCTCTCTAACATATACAACTACATGGGCTACCAAAAACTATAGTCTCGGATAGGAACCTTGTCTTCACTAATCAATTTTGGCAAGAGCTATTCCAACAATTAGGCATTACCCTACCGTTGATTACTCGCTCATCACCCATAAATAGACGGTCGGATAAAAAAGGTAAATTAATGTCTAGAGACTTACCTTAGATGCATGACTTTCCATAAGCCAAAAGTATGGAGTAGTTGGTCGTACCTAATCGAGTGTTGGTATAACATAACTTATCATAACTCCCTAAAAAGGACACCATTTGAAGCTCTTTACGGGTTCAAACCTCCATTCCATTCGAGTAGTGTTTGAAGAAGCACCCAAGGTTGCAATAGTAAAGTCACATATACAAGAAATGAAGGAAATACTAAAGCTAGTCGGACAATAATTGATTTTAGCCCAAGAGAGGATGAAGGCTCAAACAAATAAAAAAAGGATAGAAGGGGAGTTTGAAGTAGGGGATCTAGTTTACCCGAAGCTACAACCATACAAACAAACTTCGGTGTCTAAACGCCTAAATCATAAATTGAGTGCTCGATTCAATAGGCCATACCGAGTCTTGTAGAAGGTGAGGAAGGTTGCATACCACTTGAATCTTTCGGAGGGAAGCATGATACAACCAATCTTTCGGAGGGAAGATTAGGGCTACCCAGTTCCGCTTCACCACTCGCCACCTATGGACACCTACGATAGGGAGGAGGCCATCCCAAAGAAAATGTTAGATTACAAAATATACAAGAAAGGAAATCAAGTCTGGGGTGAAGTGGCTAATTTGGTGAAAGGATTCTGGAGTGGAAAATACCACATGAGAGGACACATAATTCATCTCGCGCCAATTCCTAAATTTCAATCCTTGAGGACAAGGATGTTTTGAAGCGAGGAAGGAATGTTAAGTTCCAAAATGATAGTGAGATGAACATTTTTTTAAATGAGAAAAGTTTAAATAAAAGAGGGAACTAGAGGAGTAATTTAGTCCATTAGCATTGTAATTCAATTATATCCTTGAAATTATTTGTTTCGACTATTGTAACGAAATCTATTACTCAACCTTATAGCGAGAATGCAACCGGGCGTGAGGAGCATCCTTGCTCCTTTGAATTTAGGAAAATGTATGGATTATGATATAATTTTTATCAATGAAATCATACCTTCTTCCTTTTTATTTTATTTCTCCCTCACCTTAAACTCGTTTCTTCTTCTTTTGCTAACCTCACTCTACCCTTATGCTACCGAGTAACTTCGTTCTCCCACTCTAATTTCTATCACACTTAGAATCCTAATAGATGATATCGGAGCGATGAGGACCATGAAAGGCTTCAAGGTTGATGATAGAGAATGAGCCCTCCAAAATCTCAAGCCTAGAAAACGTTTCAGCATTAGAAATGGGAGCAATGTAGGTTGGTGGAACATTTTTTATGGCTCCTACAAGCAATGCAAGGTTATTAACTACTAGTATCTTAGAAGGAGACATGGTCACTAATAGTAAAAATGCAGTCTAAATCAATGTATTGCTTAGGAGTTTGATGATCCGAATATGTATCGATAACCCTATTTATAAGAGGAAGAAATCAATAATCAAAATGGCATTGCACAACAAATAATGTAGGGATCAGTGTAAGGATTGCTATTTTATTTCCTTTGGTTGTTCGTTGGAAAACAAAATCTTACTCCAAGTAAATGATGCCAATGCAATTAATGTATAATGTTATTAAACAAAAACATGAATTCTTATTTGGACTCCTTGATCTTTACTTGGAATAGAACTAATATTTTAGATTTTAATGATTGATGTCAAAAAAAGCAAACAATTTGTGTGGTTCGGAGCAAGCCGACTTGCGGACTTTAACATTTCTTCCTTTTTCCTTGTTTTATTTTTTTTAACACACTAAATGGTGTTTTTCGAGTTTGTGTTCGCTTAATGAAATATATCAATAGTAGTATTGAATAAAAGGATTTGTAAATCTTTTTTTTATTTATTTTGATTTTCAAGACAAAATAAAACAAAACCAAATTACTAAACAAAAACTAAACAAACCGAATCAAATGACCAAATAATTACGGTTCAATTTGGTTTTTTAGTTTGGTTCTTCGATTTGTTTGTATTGCTCTCCTAAATATAACATTGTTGTTCTTGGTTCATCGAATGCCAACTCGAATTGACTAATGGTTGAAGGGAAATTTGATTTGAGGGATAAAAATAGTCATAAGAAATGTTTAAGGCTAAAATCTATATTTACAATGATGTCGATTAT